ACATGGCCTTTGACCCGTCTGGAGAGGGTTAACTAAGAAAGGATATTTATTTAAGGTTTCAGAGGCATGTTACTAGGATGATTCTGTGGCTGAAAAGATTATTGTATGGGGGATAGGTTAAGATCTCTTATTTTCTCTTGAAAAAACAAGGATACGAGATAATCTTATTGAAGATTGCAAAATTATCCAAATGATCAAAAGGATGCAGATCTCTGACTTCTTTAACCTATAATCTGAAGACAACAAGAAGAAAGGACATCTGTTTAAGATCTGGAAAAAGATAGGCTAGACTCCAGTTAAGAATTTTATATTTTTTACTGGCTGATTGGCTTATGGAACAAGTTGCCATTGGCAGTGATGGTAAAATAAATAATTTTAAAAAAAAAGGTATGGATTTAAGTGTTTACTTTTTCTTTAGGGTGGGTATATATTAATATAGGAACAACCTGTAGAACCAAATATTTCCATACTGTCCATACTTAAAATTTATGTATCATTACTTTATTTGTATTTGTAGCTGTTATGCTTATAAAAAATGGTATAATGTACTGGCTCTTGTGTAAAGTTGCAGTTAAATACTGAAACATGTAAAAGGTCATAGATTATCAGCAGATGAATTCCAATTCCAATATCATCTATCCTAAGTATTATTATTAATAATACTTAATCATTATTAACTTTAGTTTTTTAGGTTTTTGGAAATTGTTCAGGATACTTTTATACACCAACTGGTAATGGAACCTACAAGAGAGGAGGCTATATTAGATTTAATATTAGCATCTGATGTGAATATGATAGACATATGTGGTTGGTGAGCATTTAAGTACAAGCGACTATTGCACTATTAGGTTTGGAATTTTACTACATTGAAGTAGAATTGAAGAAGATTAGTACCCTGATTCCAAATTTCAAGAAAGCCAATTCTGATGGAATGAGACATGATCTGGCTTCTGTAGATTGGACTAAAGAGATTCGAAGGGATCTTGAACAGATGTGGGAAGCATTTAGGGAAAAATTTATATGCATACAAAACATACATTCCCTAAAGAAAAAAAAAGGGCAATGGAGCAGAATAAGCCAGTATAGTTTAGTAAAAGGTTTAAGAGATCATATTAGGGATAAACATAATAAATTCAAGAAATTTAAACTTACTGGAAATAATAAAGACTTGGAGGACTATAGGATATCAATAAAGCTGGTTAAAAAGGAAGTTGAAAGGGGCAAAAACTGTATATGAAAGAGGGTTAGCTGAGAGAGTTAAGTCAAGCAATATGGAATTCTTTAGGTAGATGATAGGTAAGCAAAATGTTAGGGTGGAGATTGGGCCTCTAAAAAATTATAGTGGGGAGCTGATCTCAGAAAATGATAGGATGGTAAACTTATTAAATTATATGTTCTCTTCAGTTTTTACACAGGAAGGTACAAGTATTATGCCTCAACCACAGCACTTATTGTATGGGATAAATATGATGTAAAAGATATCATTTTAAGTTCTGAAATTATGAAAGAAAAGTTGGGAAACCTCAAAATTGATAAATTCCCTGAACCAGACAACTTTTATCCTAGAGTTTTAAAGGAACTTAAAGATTTTATTTATGAACTGCTAGCTAATATTACTTATAGGTCATTGAGTAGTGGAAGAGTATTAGAATATTGGAAGTTCGCTAATGTTAGTTTGATATTTAAAGGAGGTGATAAACATTGTCCAGGCAATTACAGGCCAGTTAGTCAAACATCAGTAATTAGAAAGGTTTTGGAGAGTATTACTAAAGATGCATTACACAGTCACTTAATGCAGTTTGATATAGTGTCAAAGAGCCAGCATTGTTTTACTAAGAAAAAGTCTTGTTTAACAAAATTTCTGACATTCTTTGAGGATGTTGCTGCAAGAGTTGATGAAGGAAATACTGTGGATTTGGTTTACCTTGGTTTTCAGAAAGCATTTGATAAGGTGCCTCACAAAAGACTTGTTACAAAAATTAAATCTGTGGATATGGTGGAAATGTTATTAAATTGGATAGAAAATTGGCTGGAGAGTAGAAAGCATAGTAGTAATAAATGGAATTAGATATGACTGGATCATAGTTACGAGCGGTTTGCCTCAGGGCTCTGTGCTGGGTCCTCTGCTGCATGTGATTTATATCAATGATATTGACTCTGAAATGACTAACAAAATTTTAAGGTTTGCAAATGACATTAAGATTTTTATTAGGGTGGCTTATAGTATCAAAGATGCTGCAGACTTACAGGGAGATTTAGATCATTTGATGCATTGGGCCAATACGTTGCAGATGATGTAACTTATATAAAATGAAAGGTGATGCCTGTAGGTTTTTCACAATTCAAATTATTGCTACAATTTAAATAGGGAACACATTAAATACTGTGGTTGAAGAAAAAAGATCTTGGTGTTGTGATCAGAAAACAATAGGGCTAATAAGATTTTGGATAGCATCTACAGAAA